TTCTGACTGCGCGGGGGGGGCCTCTTGGGGACCAGTGGCAGGGGGTGCCTTGGGCGTGGCCCTGGGCCTCTCTTTCTGCCCACGTCTCCCCTGGCCTCCACCAAACTCCCCCCACCCACCCCCTCCACCGCAGGTGCTGCCGTACCTGTCCCCGAGGAGAGTGCTGTCGCTGCGGTAGACGGAATTCTCACCCGGAGGAGGAGGAGGAGGAGGGTAGCTGCGCCGCAGCAGCTGGGAGCAGGACAGCGAGGCCAAGATGCTGGCGGCCGCACTGGCGGTGCTGCCGGGACGGGAGGGAAAGTGCCGCTCCGCCTGGGGGGCCAGGACGCTGGCCAGGAGGGCATCGGGCTGCAGAGGCAGGGAGGGGGGGACTGAGTGAGCTGGGGAGGGGGTAGGATGAGCCAGGGCGGCAGAGGGCTGCCCCCCACCCTCCCCCGGGCGCGCCTGGCTGCTCACCATGGTGCTGGGCCCCTCGTCCGAGAGCAGGGAGGTGCTGAAGGGGGCCTGGGCCAGGAGCCGCTGGGCGGGAGGGGCGTGGGCCGCATCCTGCTGCACTTTCTCCTTGAGGTGCCCGATGAAGAGGGAGCTCTCCGGCGGGGGCTGCCAGCGGGGGTTGGTGATGGCGAAGTGGACGAGCGAGAGCTCCGTCTTCCCGTTCTCCGCCTGCTGGTACACCGAGGCCTCCGTCCGGCCCTGCGACAGCCACTGGGGGAGGGGACGAGAGGGCCACGTTTTTGGAGGAGCGGGGGGCTCCTCACCCAAAGCCCTCACACCAGGAGAGACCCCCAGCTGGCCTCTGCGCTCAGGGATGGGGTCCGCCACAGGAGACCCCCGAGGAAGCTCTCCGGTGGGCCCTGAGGGAAGTGGGCGGGGGTGCTCTCAGCCCCGCTGCCCCAACCAAAACATGAACTTACTGCACACGGGCTGAGAGGGGGGGGTCTCCAGCTAAGCCCCTCCCACCACCCAGAAGAACCTCCTGCCCCGAGAGAGAGTATGCGTGCGTGTGTGCGTGCACCCACCCACCCAAAAGGCCCCGCAGAGCCATATGCAGGCACAGGCCGCCTCCAGGAGTCCCACGGCCCACCAGCGGGAGCGCTGGGGACTCTCCTCTTCCTCCTCCTCCTCCTCCGCTGCCAGCCCCCTCCCCTCACCTGGGGGTTGCCGTGGTTGCGGATGTCCAGCTGGGCAAAGGAGCAGATGTCCCCCACGCCCACCACCTCGACGGAGAAGTTGCGGAAGAAGTCGATGATGTCCAGGGCTCTGGCTCGCAGGGCGAAGATGAGGAGGAAGGGCGTCACGATGGGGCTCAGCAGCTCCTCCAGGATGAAGACCTGCCGGGGCCAGAGGGGGGGCGGGGTGTCAGGTGAGGCCGCAGCCCTTCCTCCTCCTCCTGCTCCCCCCAGCCCCCCTCCTCCCCACTCACGGCCTTGTACTGGAAGAGCTGGGCCATCTCTTCCCGGGTCTCCGACTTGTGGGCGTTGCCTGGCCAGTGGTCGGGGATGTAGTGGATGTGCGCCAGGACGCACTGCAGGAGCTGCTCCGGACACCACACCATGTGCTCGTCCGGGATGAAGGACCTGCAAGAGACGGGGATCCTCAGCGTCCCGGGAAGGAAAGAAGGAAGGTGGAGGCAGCCTCTCGTGGGGAGGAGGCTCCAGGAGGCCCTGGGCATCGCTGGGGGGCACGCGAGGAAAGGAGCCCCACGGCCCAGTCCCGGGCAGATTGTAACTTGGCTGCAAAACACAGGACTGAGCAAAATCTCTATAACCTTCAATAGAATCAGGTTGGGTAGCCGTGTTGGTCGGAAGCAGCAGAACAGAGTCTGCGCCTCCAGGGGGCACCGTGAGGACCAACAAGGCCCATGCCCAGAATAAACCCGTGTTGGCCTTAGTGGTTCCGCCAGGGACTCGGGCTCTGTGCTGGTGGCAGTCTGCCCTTCCTCTCCTCACCCGGAGTCTTAAAGGCCCGGACTAGTCCACCGATCACCGCGGTCTCCTCCTGCCTGTGAGGGATCCGGAGCCAGGCTCATCCGGGGGTCCGAGGTGGAGACAACTGCTTGAAAAGCAGATGGCTCCCCCTACTCAGACACCGGAGGCTGGAAAGTGAGACCCGCCTCCTGTGGGCCCCTGGGCGCGCGGGGGCACTCTCGGCCGGTCGGCAGACAAGTGGAGACGCTGGTGGTGCCGAGGGAGGCCTCCCCAAAGCCCCGGGACGGGAGGGGGGGCGGGGCTCACCTGGCGACGGTGACGACCAAGCCCAGGAGAGTGAGGGTGGTCAGGATGTGCTGCACGGTGAGGACGTCCTCGTCGTAGACGGTGAGGGCGATGAGCACGGCCAGGATGGAGCCGGCGAAGAAGCCGACGTTCTTGGCCAGCACGGCGAGGAGGGGGCTGGTGAAGGAGTTCATGTACTTGGAGGCCGGCTTGTAGCCGCGGCTCAGGCGGGCGTGGAGCTCGTGGTCCAGCTCGTTGAAGTGGCGCAGGTAGAGGCGGCCGTAGAGCGACCAGCGGCGGGCCCCCAGGCTGCCGGGCTCCCGCTTGAGCACCTCGGTGTAGCTGAAGAAGGCGTAGAGCACCTGCCACACCAGGATGAAGGGGCAGAGCAGCAGGTTGGCCAGGCCCAGCAGCAGCATGCCGCGCCCCAGGCGCTGGGCCAGCTGCAGGCGGGACCCCGCCCGCTTGTACTGGGGCTGCAGGCTCCACTTGCTCTGGAAGAGGGAGCCGGGCCCCCAGAAGAAGAGCAGCTCCAGGTTGTACTTGAGGCCCTGCGTCAGGAAGACCACCTCGCCCAGCAGGGGCAGGCGGAAGCGGACCGGCAGCAGCGACTTGTTCACCATGGCCACCAGGTAGTTCTTGAAGCGCAGGATGCGGTGGTGGATGTCCAGCTCCGTCAGCTCCCGCTTGTGCACGCACATCTGCTGCTCCCGCTGCAGCGAGATCAGGCGCGCCTGCACCTCCTGCCAGCTGCGGTTGCACAACTCGTCCTGCACGAGAGCCCCCGGGGGAGCGTCAGGCCACGGGGGGAGGGGGCGCATCGAAGGTGCTGCTCGGCTCTGCTCTCTGCGCTCCTCGGCCGGGCCCTTTCACAACACCCCCACCCCCCTCCCTGCACAAGCACAGAGCCCCCCTGCAGCCCGCCCCGCTGCTTCCAGGCACCCAGAGTCATGAAGCTGCCTGTGTCTGACTCCCTTGAGGGCCCACCTAGCTCCGCTCTGTCTACCCAGGCCGGCAGCAGCAGGAGCTCTCTCTCTCCAGGGTCTCGGGCAGAGAAAGGCCTTCCCTTAAAACAACTGGGAACGGAATGGCCCTGGAAGATCATACTGCAGCGGCGCGGTGGACCGGTACGGTTGTTCTGGGATAGAGACAATAGCATCTGAACATCGTCAGCCGAATACCATCTTTTTGATTAGTGTAACATCTTAGAGCACTTGTTAATGATCTTGTTTTATTGTGTTTTATTCTATTTATTGGCACAAAGTGCCCTATCTGTAAGCTGCCCTGAGCCCTTTGTGGGGAGGGCGGGGTATAACTTTAATAAAATAAATAAATAAAAAATAAACCCCCTGCTGTGGGGAAAGGCAAGCCCCCCCCGAGCCCCACCGCGCTTCGGTGCTCCCCCCTCCAGCCCCTCCCTGCACTCACCGCGGGGATCTTGAGGGCTTTGGTGTAAAAGGCACGGATCTCCCAGTAGCCGAGCAGGCTGCAGAGCACCTTCCCCAAGCGGTAGAGCCAGAATGTGGCCGCCATCACCAGCAGGAAGATGATCCAGCCGCTGGCCCGGATCCTGCAGCGGAGGGAAGGGGAAAACGGACAGCGTCAACCCGGCCGGCTGCAGGTCAGCCCAGGACACGGCCGGTCAGGCTCCGGGGAGGGGGCCGGGTTGTGCAAGGCCAGTTGCAAGGCAGACGTCTCCAGTTACACACAAACACTCAGCACGGCCATCGCCTCCTGCTGAGGCGGCTTTTCTTTACTTTCTTTAAAAAAGGACCGGACCCGCTGATGGACACCCCAGCTGAGGACGGCTCCCGGACAGAGGTGGCCTTCATGGAAACGGGGCATCTGGCTGGCCACCCTGGAAACGGGGCATCGCTGGGCCTCACCGCCTCCCCCCCCACCCAGCCCAGAGGGGGTTCTCAGCTGCTTTGCTCACCAGTCCTTGCCCTAGGCGCTGGGCCCAGGCAGGCCCCCTGAGGGGAGAGGGAGGGAGGCCCGGGGAGGGGCACAGGAAGGCCCAGACACTGGCAGGGAGGGAGGGTGGGTGGACTGCCAGGCCGCCCAGGGGCAAGTCCAGAGCAACCACTCGGCCGGTGCCACCTTCAGAATCAGGCATGAGGAGAAAGAGGGTTGCTTTCCCTCTCCCCTGGGGAGTCTCAGAGCGGCTCACAATCGCCTCCCCTTCCTCTCCCCGCTACACGTGCCTTGTGAGGCAGCTGAGGCTGAGAGAGCTCTGAGCGAGCAGTGACTGGCCCAAGGCCGCCCAGCAGGCTTCACGCAGAGGGGTGGGGGTGGGGAGTCAGACGCAGCTCTCCAGGCCAGTGTCTGCCACCCTTAGCCAGGCTCCCGGCTGGGAACGGGTGCCAGACCCCCTCCTCCTCCTCCTCCTCAAGGGGAGGGAGCCACCCGGCGTCTTTTGCCCGGGCTGGGAGGCCCCCACCCTGCCTGACGCATTGATGCCCCGGCCCCTCCGCGCTCACCTCTCAGCACACTGTGGCGTGGGCAGGATGGCATCGGGCAGCGTCACCTTCCCTCGGTCTGGGGCGAGGCCACCGCCCGGCTGTGTGTGATTGACGGGCCGGTTGGCAAACAGCACGTCGTACTCCACGCAGCAGAACAGGAAGGTGGTGAACGTGACGACAAACAGGAACTGCCTGGGAAAGGAGCGGCCTGGGGTCAGCGGCCCGCCTCTCAGTGCGCTCCCCACCCCCAGAAGCCGCCTGTCCCAAGGCGCTGCAGTGAGTGAGTGAGTGAGTGAGTGAGTGAGTGAGTGGGGGGGCTCCCGGGAAGCCTTCCCAGCCCACACCGGACCCTGGCTC